GCATCATTATCATTATAACATCTTTTAGTAAGAAGACCAAAATTCCTGTTGTTACTTGGATGCATATAAAAAGCACCTTTAATGAAAGCACTACAGACACATCCCCACAGTCACATCAACAGTACCTAACGCTCACCACCTACTAACTCAAGGGCTGTGCAAGAAATTCCAAATTTGAAGGGATCTTCTGTTATTGCACGTTTGAAGAATGTCGGTGATGTCCGTCAGTTGTTGCCGCGGCAATGTCCTGTTATGTTCGTGTCACATTGGCTCCAGAGGTGCCCCGTCGCGTAAGTGTATTGTCACGCGTCGTGTGAATGTCGTGGTTACGCCAATGGAGTGTAAGACGCGAAGTTTGCAGCCTTCGAGATTACATTTAAATGGATACACCACATTGGTGCATCTAAGTTTGTCAGGCTCGTAATGGTTGGTTCTCGTCTCTCGAAACGCGCATTATTGAACAATTACTAAAAGCCTGTATTCTGGAAGTCCCTTCCCGGGGGCCTGATAGACGAATGCATTACCTGCAACGTAGGTACTGTAGACGTGGTTGTGAGAATGTTTTCTTTAGTTTTCATTACAGATGCACTTATTTTTAAGTATACAAGTAACGATATAAATTGTGGTCTTCTCCATACTCAAGATGCCTTATGATAGCGATGCACACCTTTTATCTTTGAAAGCTAAAACTTGTTCTGTGTGCCATTTATACTTCTCGGACAATTAGATAAGGTGTCGAGACGCTATAATGTACATATCGACAAATATATGGTTGATTTTGCACGAACAATTTTTTCATTTTATTTTGGCGATACTGCAAAGTCGAAAGCCGGAACCTCAAACAATGCATCAAAAAGCTTGTCAATGCGGAATCAGCTTCGCTTTTAATCAAACATGCGTTAGAAAAAATTTCCAAAATCCACCAGCAAATATATGTATATATATATATATATATATATATATATATATATATGGTGTGTGGAGGGGGGGTGTATCGGCAAGGCATGCATACGCCAGGTCACGGATTGTTTGGCGTCGGCGTTGCTCGGGCTGACGTTCACCGACTCGTCGTGCAGTGGCGCTGGCTGGACTGGCGGCGACCCAGGAAAACTTTTCAGCTACTCGGCAACCCGGTGGTGGACGAGAACTTCTTCGTCATCGGCGAGCTGGCCCAGGGCGAGACGCTTGCAGCAGTTAATCAGGTGAGCCTTCTATGTCAAGAATACATTGGCTTTAAAAATGAGGTCAAAAATTTCCAGTATGTTCTTTGGGACTTCTTCGCATTGTAATGGCACGACAAGCGTGCAAAGCAGCCATTTGAAACAATTTATATCATTTCACTGTGGCACAGCACTCGTATCATAAACTGGCAAGGTTGTTCAGGTGATCATCCCCTACGTGCCTATATGTTCTCCATGACTCTCTGTTCGCTGTGCTCCGCATATTTCATTCCGCAATGCAGTTTTCTTGTATTTCTTTTAATCTTTCTAACCCACTTAAAAGGATTCCACAGGTTTGTTTCCTGAAATAGGAAACTCGTAGTTTTCATTTATTTCATTTCTGACACATTTAACCTGATGCATTTAGTTGATTTCCAAATAAGTTAGAGCACTACTAGAGCTACGCCACTGCCGATAAAATCCCCTGGCTTGATAATTATTTCGCTTGACTTCTACTACATACGCGTGACTTCGTCAGTTTAAGAGTAAGTCGCGTATTCTGTGCACCCAATTGGTTTGATGTCATACCGCTTATCTCGGTAACACACCAGTTACGGCTACAAAAGCTACGGTTTTACGGGTTAGATGATATAGATGAGTGTGCAATGAGAACATATATGAAAATGGAATGACATTTTATCAGTTTCAGCTTGTTTCGCAGGGACTGTAGAACTAGTACATAACATCAGCTGTTCTTAACGGCCGTTTAACGCTATCTGTTATACCATTGCAACACAAGCAGGCTCAGACTGAAAAATACTGCAACCTTATACCCTTCGTTTTGAGCAAAATCCTGCATTTGTGAGATGCGAGCACGAATAGACTTACACCATTTCTTCATTCCGTGAAATTTGCTATGATCTTTAAGTCCGGGCACAGCGTTCACCTGAAGGGCGAAGCACGATAGCTCATTAAGCCGAGTCGAACCGCTCTGTGAGCTTGTAACTGAACTGATTTGTTTGAACCACTTAATTCCGAAGAAAACACGTTCTTTCGGAGTTGCGCCCGCTTGTACCAAACACATCACCCCGTCGTTTCAGCCGACGCAAGTCGAGACAGCATGGTGAGTGCGAATGTGACAAGCAATTTGTTCAAAGAAGTGGCCTGGCCTGCCTGGCACGTCGAAATCTGAGGTGGAGGAAGCTTTTTCGAAAGTATCAGACAAAGAAGGATATAAATATAAGGGCATGTAAAGTTCCTTGTTCAGCTGCTCATTAACACGCGCCCGGGTGGCCGGCTAGATATCTTTCGCTCGGGTGCGGGTCAATTTGAGCCCCGCTGAGATCACGGGAACTAAGAAAGCTAGAGACACCAAATTTACGGGGTGCTTGGCCTGTATGTGAACTCACTTAGGTCCAAATTTGAGCTTCCTGGGTTATGACTTTCAGGTCAAATAAGGTCAAACAAGTTAAAATTTCAGGTTGGTCTTCAAAGTGTCCCCAGAACCTAGGCGACTGTTTCTAAGCAAAAGATCACAAGCCCATTGGAGGTCAGTGACCAGGTTTGACCTTTTAAAGGTCATGGTGACCAAAATCATACAAGACTGCTCTGAGTTGTATATGAATAAGCGACAAAGGTAGTATGTTCCTAAAACGAAATGTCGACCCGGGTCATCTTTGGTCAATGACCTCTAACAAGTCAATGGAAGATGTATGATGCGGTTCCTGCTGTCAATAAATTCGAAATGAGCACCAGAAACTATCCCATGCAGCAAGCCCTAGAGAAATAAATCAGGTTGGGTTTGAAGCTGGTCTGACCTTCATACCTGACCTTAGGTCAACGTCATTTGCTCAATCAATATTTGTGGTGCCTAAGAAAGCATATCAGAGA